CAAATTTTTAAAAAGGTTAAATATTGTGAAAAGATGTTATACTAACAACTATAAAGTACTCAATCATATTCAAGTTCGAAGACGACCTAAACATTTTTCATTCCTACAATGATCCGATTGAACAAAGTTTGCTTTAGTTTGACTTGAATTATTTTTACACATGGTGCAAATCTAATGGAACTAAACATACGCAAGTGAAAACATATTTCATTTTCTAGACTACGATTTTTAGCGCAAAATATTATTTTGAAAACAATGAGCTAGAATTTGTAGAATTTTTCCACGATCTTGGTACATTACTTGATTGACGGCCACGTTTTCGTCAACACATATCAGTATTGGTGAACAAAGCTAATGGTGCACTAGAGTTTATGAAGAGATGGAGCAAGGAGTTTTACATCCTCTAGTCACAAAACTACTATATATTTCATCTGTTCGGAGTTTACTTGAATATGGTTCTATTGTCTGGAACCCATGTTATGCAATATACCCGAACAATTTCTATTGTTCGCTTTGTGTAGTCATTGGCGGAATCATGAAACATTACCCTCTAGTGATACCAGACTTTTCTTAAAACTTCCTTTTTTTAAAATGTCGAAGAACAATGCTTGGAATAAACTCATACAGAGCAAAATATTTTCTGACCTGCATGGAATTTTCAACTGTTTCAAGTTCAATTTTATAGGTATAACCATGACATAATCACAGAAGGTAGAACAAAGCTACGTCCTGTGTGTGTATTGTTTTGAATATTGTTACGTTCTTGGATTTTACTTAATCCCGTGTAGACGTTGTTTTATTTCCCAGTACAGCTCGTACCAAATAAAACGCGGGTTCTTTCGGATTACGATTATTACAATGATTTTATTCACACAACTTTACTTTGCACTTTACTTTAACTCGACGGTTTCAATTCGCGATCTGATTCACAACTGACTGACTGCCTTTCCATTTCCCCTATTTATATGAGCCTCGCCTGTCGCTACAGAAGTTTCTAGACGATCTGGTAACGCCTAGATTACGAACAATCTACCAATACAACGAACGCATACAAACTTACATTGAGTGAACAATAACAACAACACATACACAGGCGAGGGGGTAACAAAGAAAGAGGAATTAAGCGATCATCAATGATGACGTTTAACAAGAATTGTACGTCAGCAACAAAATAGAAAATGAAAGAGGAAATGGAAGGATGTAGAAAAATCTATACAGTAGTTGTTGTTGTGAAGTTATTCAAATAAACTGCGTAGTAGAAATTTACGTTACAATTCAAATTCTTAAATTAACGGAATTCATCTAAATTAACTTAAATCTAATGTTATATTCGTAACATTGCCCCCCGCTTAAGCCTGTTCGTCCCGAATAGGCACAGTTCCCGTTCCGTAGGGGGTCAGCCGCTCCAAATGTACAACTTTCATCTTCGACCTGGGACTGTCGCTCCTCTGGATGCGATAAACGACGTCATTTATTTTCGTGACAATCTTGTAGGGTCCTTCCCAGTGCGTTTGTAATTTGGGGCATAGTCCTTTCTTTCGTTGTGGGTTGAACAATAGTACCAGTTGAAACCCATCGGTATTTGCCGCTCGATCGTACCTTGCCTTCATGCGGTTGCTAACCATTTTTATTCGATGTCGGACTGCATCGTGGACTTTACTAAAAGAGTTTTGACTGTCTTCATCTTGGTTCACATCGTCGTTTGGGGTAGCACCGAATATCAAATCGCCAGGTAGCTTTAATTCATTTCCGAACAGAACTTTGGCTGGGGTCCGGGATGTGGAATCATGAATGGCCGATCTATAAGCCAGTAAAAACTTGGGAATATGCTCATCCCAGTCTCGTTGGCCACTGTCCACCAATTTCCGTAGATGTTCTTCCAGGGTGCGATTGAATCTTTCCACCATGCCATCTGATTGTGGATGTAGGGGCGTCGTTCTGGTTTTCTTGATTCCGTAGGAGTCACACATTTCCTTGAAGATCGCTGATTCAAAATTCCTCCCTTGATCGGAATGAACCTCAGATGGAACACCATAGCGACAAATCCAATTTCTGCTGAACACATCCACAATTGTCCTGGCTTCTTGATTTGGGATAGCATAAACCTCTGGCCATTTACTGAAGTAATCCATGACCACTAAGACATACCGGTTCCCAGAGTCGCTTGTTGGGAACGGTCCAGCTACATCCATTGCGATTCTTTCAAAAGGGGCTCCTGAATTATACTGCTGCATGTAGCCTCGACTCTTCCGTGTTGGACCTTTAGCTCTTATGCACCTTTCACAATTGGCGATCCAGTCGGCAATGGATTTTTGACAGCCGACCCAGTAGAATCTCTGCTTTACCTTTTCAGCGGTTTTTGCTATGCCAAGATGTCCTCCACTTGGCCCATCGTGAAACTCCGACAAGACATCTCTTATTTTGGAGTCTGGGACGACGATCAAGTTCCGGTGAGATTTACCGTCCTCACTTTCCCATTTGCGATATAGGCAACCATCTATTATAAGTAGACTGTCCCACTGGGCCCAATAGGATTTTAAAAGAGGGCTTTCGGAGGTAATTTCTTTGCGACTAGGTCGTTTGCCCGTTTCTATGGCCGAAATTACTTTGCCCAGAATGGGATCTCTTCGTTGTTCCGTCGACCAATCTTCACCCGACTCAAATTGCAATAGTCGGACATCAACGATATTCTCTTTATTCTCAGCCTTTGAGCAGTGCTTGCATTCTACTTTGCATGGCCGACGAGACAGGGCATCAGCATTACCGTGTTTTCCGCCTTTTCTGTGCTCGATTCTGAAGTCATAACTCTGGAGCCTCTCGATCCAACGGGCTAGTTGACCTTCCGGATTCTTAAACTGCAGCAACCATTGGAGAGCAGCGTGGTCGGTCCTCAGCAGGAAATGCTGGCCATATAGGTATTTGTGGAAGTGTTTAACGCACTCAAGGACAGCAAGCAGCTCTCTCCTCGTCACACAGTAATTCCTCTCAGGTTTCGACAATGTCCGGCTGTAGTACCCGATGACTTTTTCCTGTCCGTCGATTTCCTGGGAAAGGACGCCACCGATGCCGCACGCACTTGCGTCTGTGTCCAGGACAAACTTGCCGCCAGGTATAGGGTATGCCAAAATGGGGGCTCTGCATAGCATGTCTTTGAGCTTTCTGAATGCCTCCTCCTGGTCGTTGCCCCACTGAAACCTCTGGCCTTTTTGCGTCAAACGGTGTAGACAGGCGGCGATATTGGCAAAATTTTGGACAAATCGACGGTAGTATGTGCAGAGACCCAGAAAGCTTCGCAGCTCATGGAGATTTCGGGGCTGCGGCCAATCTCTGACGGCTTGAATTTTCTCCTTATCCGTCGATATGCCCTCCGGCATCACGTGGTGTCCCAGGAACTTCACCTCTCGTTGGAAGAGACTGCACTTCTTTGGGTTCAGCTTGAGGCCTGAAGACGAAAGCTGCTGTATAACATCCTTTAAGTTCTTGATGTGTTCGTCGAAGTTGCGTCCCATGACTATGATGTCATCCAGGTATATGAGGCACGACTTCCACTGCAGCCCTTTTAACACACGCTCCATCAGCCTTTCAAATGTAGCCGGGGCGTTGCAGAGTCCGAATGGCATGACATTGAACTGCCAGAGACCCCCATTTACGCCAAACGCTGTTTTCTCCTTATCTTTCTCGGCGATCTCTACTTGCCAGTACCCACTCTGCAGGTCGAGGGTGGAGAACCATGACGTCACGGCTAATGTGTCCAATGTGTCGTCGATTCTTGGGAGCGGATAGCTGTCTTTCTTGGTGACATCATTCAACTTTCTGTAGTCCACACAAAATCGGGTGCTTCCGTCTTTCTTCTTGACCAAGACCACTGGGGAGCACCATGGACTTGACGATGGTTCTATTACACCACTCTTTTCCATTTCACTTATCAGCTTCTGAACCTCGTCTCTTTTTGCCAGGGGAACACTTCTTGGAGGCTGTTTAATGGGTCTCGCGTCTGCTGTATTGATTTCATGCTTCACCACTGATGTTCTTCCTTGGTGCTCTTTTGTCAACGCAAAGGTAGAGGCATATTTCCATAATAGCTGCTTAGCCTTGTTCCTCTCGGAAGGTGATAATTGGTGTGTCCACTCTTTTATGTAGCCGTCGAGGTGCTTCTTCTCCATGGCAGCTGGCTTTTCGGTGCTAGTTTCCAAATTAACTACAGCTTCAGCTGGTGTGCATTGTCCAACATCGGAAAATTGGCAAATTTGCTCTTGCTTGTTTGACAGGTTCAAAACTCTAACAGGAATTAATCCGTCCTTGTTGCTTTTCACCAGGGCATTCGCTATTAGGATGTTACTGTTTCTGTTTTCTGCTGGTTCCACCACCCACAACTTCTCGGCTCCACAATCTCCATTCGTTGGTACCCATATTATTGCTTCGGCACAGGGCGGTATTATCTCTGGATGGTCCGTGGTCAGACGTCTAATGGGTGTACTTTCATCGTAGCCCACGTTTAACGGAATTTCGACGTTAGACCAGGTCATCACACGTTCTTTCATATCCAGATTGATACCAAAGGCAATCATAAAATCTGCGCCTATTATCACTTCGTCTACGATATCGGCAACTATAAACTCGTAATTCTCCGATTTATTGGCAATAGTTAGTCTCAGGGTAATCTTGCCGTGTACTGCCGCGGGCTCCCCCGTTGCTGTGCGCAGTCTGACTCCATTAAGTTCCGTTATTTTTCCCTTTACCAGATCTGATCTTACGATTGACTTTGATGCGCCAGTATCTAACGTCAGAACTCGCTTATCACCATTGATGTACCCAGTTGTTGTTAGGTTGTGACTTTCCTGTTGTACTATTGCTATGGAGATTGTGGGGCCATCGTCGATGGGAGCCAGTTCATGCCCCGCTGGACTGGCTCGATTTAGTTTAACTGCGACTCATTGGTGGACTGTTGGGCCATTCTTCTACCATCTTTCGTTGGAGGTGGTGACGATGACCTGGATCGTTTGCGCTTAGCTCTGCATTCGCGCGCAATATGACCTGCTTTATCGCAGTTGTAGCATCTAACCCTGGGCTTAGTCATCCCAACTAACTTTGTCTCTTCTATTACCCGCCTCATGGCGTCTTCGATCGAGTTAACGAGAGATTTGGGTTCGCAACCTTCGGTCTCCAGTTGGCGAATCTTGTGGGTCTGGGGCTTAACAACTATTCTTGCCGTCTCTTGGGCAAGGGCAAACGACACAGTTTCGGAAAATGATGCTTTTGGTGACGCATATGTTGCATACTTAATCTCAGGGTCACGTATGCCATTCACAAAGGTTTCGATTTTCATACGGTCCAGCAATGGGTGATCCTCTCCTGGATACGTCATTAGCACCAAACGTTCCACCTCAGCTGCAAAGTCTTGTAACGTCTCGTTTGCCCTCTGTACTCTTCCCCTTAATTCCATAAGGTAGATGTTTCGTTTATGTTCGCCACCGTACTTACGTTCCAGTGCAGCAATAACATCTTCATAGTTGTTTCTAGAAGCGACAGGTATTGTATAACATCAGCAGCACTGCCCTTCAATGCCAGAAGTAGTGCAACCGCTTTGTCGCTGTCGTTCCACGAATTTCTAGAAGCCACTGTCTCGAACTGTAACTTGAAAACATTGAATGACGTAGAGCCGTCGAATACAGGAGGTTTGATTTTTAGTGTGTTATCAGGAACTCGCACCGGACCACCTTTGATTTCCAGTTCCGAAATTTTCTTCTCCAGATTTGTAGCCCTATGGTCGTGGGACAGAAATTTCTCGTCAACCGACTGCACTTTCTTATCCAACTCTTTAATTTGGACCTCCACGGTTTCCACTCTCCTTCCAATAACTTCTGCAATGTACTCGAGTTTCTCGTTCGTTATTCTTGAATTTTCTTCGAACCTTCTGAAATTTTCCTCAAACATTTTGGCTAGCATTTCTCTGAAATCGTCACCCCTGGCAGCTACTGACGAGACTTCCCCACCGTTGGATTCGCCCATTTCCGATAAATCCACTTCATCCTTACTGTCAAACTCATATGTATCGATGTTCATACCACGGCTCTCGAACTCATCCAACAGACGTTTTTGTAGTTCAGCCTTGTTGCCAGTAGAGGACAATTCCAATTTATTAAGTTCCTTCTTCAAGTCTTCCACTCGTAGATCCTTAAACTTCATCGTAGTATTATCGTAATCTCACTTCTGACACCAATAGTTACGTTCTTGGATTTTACTTAATCCCGTGTAGACGTTGTTTTATTTCCCAGTACAGCTCGTACCAAATAAAACGCGGGTTCTTTCGGATTACGATTATTACAATGATTTTATTCACACAACTTTACTTTGCACTTTACTTTAACTCGACGGTTTCAATTCGCGATCTGATTCACAACTGACTAACTGCCTTTCCATTTCCCCTATTTATATGAGCCTCGCCTGTCGCTACAGAAGTTTCTAGACGATCTGGTAACGCCTAGATTACGAACAATCTACCAATGCAACGAACACATACAAACTTACATTGAGTGAACAATAACAACAACACATACAAACTTACATTGAGTGAACAATAACAACAACACATACACAGGCGAGGGGGTAACAAAGAAAGAGGAATTAAGCGATCATCAATGATGACGTTTAACAAGAATTGTACGTCAGCAACAAAATAGAAAATGAAAGAGGAAATGGAAGGATGTAGAAAAATCTATACAGTAGTTGTTGTTGTGAAGTTATTCAAATAAACTGCGTAGTAGAAATTTACGTTACAATTCAAATTCTTAAATTAACGGAATTCATCTAAATTAACTTAAATCTAATGTTATATTCGTAACAATATAAAAGAAAATAATTTTAAATTCTTTAAAATTTCGATGGACCAGAAATGCATATTTTTCACATTAGCGAACAACGAAATGTATAATTTGGATATAAAACGATATTGTCCTCTATCTTGAATTCAAATTTGAAGAAAAACACCAATTTTCCATTCATGTTTTGTGGGTTTATCCCAACATAGTTATTTTTCGATAAAAGTGTAAAAATCCAAAACCACATTTAAAAGTAAATTTGGTACCATAAGACTCCGATATAGAGTTGCTTGTTTTCTAATTTCTTGAAGTTGTGGAACCTTTCTAATTGGATATAACTATGTAAATAATGATCCACTACGTCGCCTAGTCGTCCAATTCAATAAATTTTACAAAATAATTAATCTATCTGAAAAACAAGTAACAAACATTAACATGACCCACAGGTACCGATTTTTAAACATATTCGTGAGAAAATGTGGCAAAAATCATCAAAATACGGAATATCGGGAGGTACCGCTATATAGGGCTATACAAAAGCGTGGGCCTATACATACAATATTTCGCCAACGGAGCTAGAACTCATTATGACCAACAAATTCAGATTTTTAGACAAATCCGCGATAAAATGTGACAAAAATCATCAAAATACGGAATATCGGAAGATACCGTTATATGGAAACTATACCAAAGACCCATTATGACCTACAAATACCAATTTTCAGACAAATCCGTGAAACCAGTAAAGAAAGTCTTAAAGTCGGGCGGGCCCGACTTTATGATACCCTACACCACTTTGCTAATTTAGTAGAGCTCCACATAAGAATTAAAAGTTTTTATGGGAGAATTCAATCATACACGATATGATTATAATTATAATTTAAACAAGTAAGCAAAGGCTATAGTCGTGCGGGGCCGACTATGTTATGCCCTACAACACTACAATATGTTAGAAGTCCCCTTATGTCCAAATCCACATTGGAAGATTTCGCTTTTGAAATTAGGATTTTGACTAGGGACATTTGCCCAATATTTATGGATTCCTTCGGGCTGTTAGTAGTTGTGGTCCATTTTACAGCTAAATATAATCCAATGGTTATCCAAAATGCTAAAATTCTTCCCTGTCCTTAATTGTGTGATCGGAAAAACATTTCTGTTTTTGGTTAATTTGAACCCCTAAATATTTTGCAATCATCTCCAAAAGCAAGAAGTCCCTCTGTATCTCCAAATTTAGACTCATCTATTCGTCAACGAAATCAGCATAAAAAGCCAGAAGTTCGCCTTTTTGTATTTCGGATATCGCCTGTAAGTAATGCTGTTATTTTTTCACACAAAATTAGTGGTCCATTCTACCCGCTGTCCTAAACTCTAACTTTATGCGAGATTTCGTGTCCTTTGGTTTCTATTTGTGACCTTTATAACGGCTGCGAAATCAGGAACATTTTTAGTTGTTGGTCCATTTCAACCCCTAATATACTGCGGACATCTTTGAAAACAATGGGCCTAACCCTCGTGAGGATCAGACGATATTTGCAATACTTATATAATATACCCAACCTGTGTTGTAAGGTGAAAAAATATTACTAATATTACTATTATAAGTCAAATTGAAAAAATCGCATGCGATAAAAAAATATGAAAAAATAAAAATATGTCACAAAATACTACAAAATCTATATTTACATCATTATTGGCATATTTTTCTGCAATTTTTTTTTGATTTTATACTTTTATGTCAAGAGGGCATTCTGAATTGGTCAAAATCGGTCCAGCCATTCTTGAGATATAGGCATTCTAACTAACATCCCTTTCCTATATACAAAGGATTTGTATGCATTTCGCTATATATAACCGATATATTTACTATCGGCATATACGTAACGGTCAGAATTGACCTGTTCGTCTATTTGTGATTTCGCAGGGATTAAAAATATTCGCGGTTAAATGGAAAATTTGACTTTTATTTAACACAATTGTTATGGTTTATTTCACACACTAAATATTACCCGATGACCATCAAAATTGGAAGGCTTCTGTCCAGCCCTAAGTTCTAGCCCCATGCTATCTTCCGCTTTGATTGGTCTATAATTGCGACCTGTAGAGCAACTGCAAAATCAGGAATTTTTTCAGTTTTTGGTCCATTTCAATCCCTAAATATTATGCGATCATCTCCAAAAGAAATAGGGTTCTATTCTGACCCTAGCCCCACCTCCATTCTAAATTTCGTGAAGATCGGGAAATAATTGCGACCTGTAGAGTGACTTGTATTGCCTATAGTAGCTATATCCAAATATGAACCGATCTTAATAAAATCTGGCAAAGATATTTCTGAGATGTATTTCATATATTTCCCTGAATATCGTTGTTACGGAGTGCATATTACGGCTGTGGGTAACAAATATAACAAATCGGATGAACAATATATATGGGAGCTATAGCTATATCTGAACCGATCTTCACCAAATTTAACATACCAGCTTCTAGACTCAATTTGGTCGTAAGTGCCAAATTTCATCCCATTTGGGCAAATATTAGACGTTTGGTGGACAATAAAAGATAAATCGGACGAAGTTGTAAATGGGAGATATATCCAAATCCGAACCGATCTCGATAAAATTTAGCAAAGGTATTTCTGAGCTGTATTTGATACATTTCCCTGAATATCGTGGGTATGCACTCGTTGGAGTGCATATTACGGCTGTGGGTAACAAATATGACAAATCGGATGAACAATATATATGGGAGCTATAGTTATATCTGAACCAATCTTCACCAAATTTGACATACTAGCTTCTAGACTCAATTCGGTCGTAAGTGCCAAATTTCATCCCATTTGGGCAAATATTAGACGTTTGGTGCACAATAAAAGATAAATCGGACGAAGTTATAAATGGGAGATATATCCAAATCCGAACCGATCTCGATAACATTTAGCAAAGGTATTTATGAGCTGTATTTGATATATTTCCCCAAATATTGTTGTTACAGAGTGCATATTACGGCTGCGGAGGTCAAAAATAACAAATCGGATGAACAATATATATTGGAGCTATAGCCATATCTGAACCGATTTCGATCAAATATAGCATACTTATTTTCAGGCCTAATTTGGTTGTATGTGCAAAACGTTTGATGCACAATAAAAGGCAAATCGGACGAATATATATTTGGGAGCTATATCTAAATTTTTACCGATTATCTCCAATTTCAAAAGGGTTTGTCCTTGGGCCAAACAAATGATTTGTGCAAAATTTCATCTGGATCGGGTAATAAATGCGAACTGTACTTTGTTCACAAAAATACATGGACAGACGGACGGACATGCATAAATCGAGTGAGAATGTCATTCTATGCAGATCATCAAAAGGAACTATGGGTCTATCTAGTTTCCTTTTGTCTGCTACAAACAAATGCACAAAGACATAATACCCTGACCATTTTGTGGTGTAGGGTATAAAAATGTGGTCAAAATCATCAAAACGTGGACCTATACATGCAAAGTTTCGCCACCGGAGCTAGAACCCATTATGAACTACAAATACTAATTTTTAGACAAATCTATGAAAAAATGTGGCAAAAATCATCAAAATATCGAATATTGGGAGGTACCGTTATATGGAGCTATGCCAAAGCGTGGACCTATACATTCAAAGTTTCGCCACCGGAGCTAGAACCCATTATGACCAACAAATACCAATTTTCAGACCAATCCGTGAAAAAATGTGGCAAAAATCATCAAAATACCGAATATCGGGATGTACCGTTATATTGGGACTATGTGGACCGACATATATCATTTTCAATACCAACCATGCTAGACACAATAAATATTATTCTGCTAAATTTTGACGCTCTACGTATCGTGATTTCAACAGACAGACAGACAGACGGACATCGTTAAATCATCTTAGAATTTTATGCTGATTATGTGTATTTATACATTATGTGGTCTACGACGAATATTTAGGGATGTTAGAAACGCAATGACAATGTTAATATACCCTCCTTTCCAAGGTGGAGGGTATAACAAGGAAATTAAAATTGCAATATACTCTGTATGTATCTTCTTATAACAATTGATATTTATAAATGTCTATAAGCTTAATAAAAAAATTAAATTAATTAAACGTCATATAAGTACTACACAGGAACTAACAGCACTGAGAAAGTTTCTTTAAGATGAAGGGTTTAAAATCTCTATTTTTTATTATATGTTTAAGCATGGTAGAATCAAGAAGGTCAAGTCATGCAAATACATGTTTAGAATTTTTTCAATATGATTCGTTTGACAATATCTCATTGTCAAAATATATATTTATAAATCTATTGATAGAAATCAAAGATGGAAACCTAGTTTTTATGCAGTGACAAGGTAAATTTCAGAAAATCCAGAGATGGATATGCTTATTTAAAATGAGTTTACCTTTTTAATTGTTCCATGTTTTTATGCATAAGACAGGATATATATAAATCATCATCCTAAGATATGGAGCATATAACAGTTCTTGCGTCCAAAGGAACGCCGAAAATAATATATTATTTGTTATTTTTGTAAAATATGATACTCGTCATAATATATATAATATAAATATTTTACAGCGTTACTTAAAATTCGACGTAACGTACACATATTAAATGCTTTGTACGTCCGTGTTACCCAAATATGCCAAGTCCTTATTTTAGAATCTACCCATGGTATAATTATTACAGGTAACAGAAAGTCCCAGCTGATTTGACTTTATTATAATACTAGTGTCAAACTCGATATGACGTTTTGTGATTTAATTCCATTTCTTGATATACAATAGGTATACCCATGGTACAATGAAGAGAAGGTAGGTCTACAAAAACTCTAGATTTTGTCGACGCATACGATGAAATAAACATTTTGAAAACATCCGAATTTGAATGTTTTCTGAACAATTTTTTTGTTATCGAAAACAAAACACATACATATACAAATAATGATGACATATTAAGCCAAGAAAATAAAAAAATTGAAATCATATGGTATCATAGCCCTACCTTAATATCATTATACCATGGGTATACCCTTTCTTGATATAAAATTTCACTGCAGGGCAATGTGAACATATTTTTTGCCTAATAAGAGAAAAAAAACGCCGTTGTACTTAACAAATCGCCAAAGGCGATGGTTCGGAAACTTTTTTCGGTTAAGGAACAGCGACACCACGTTAGATAATATATTCGTATATTTCATGTTTCCTAAAATTGCAAAATGTACAATACTTTGTGTATGTATGCTGTTTGGTTTGAACTTGAAAAGGATGTTGCCTTTTCCACGATTTTCTAGCGATTGCTTGAAGTGTTGAGAGATTAGGACCAACAGCTAACAACTATACATTCAGGGGAATGATGTGAAATCATTAAAATTAAATATTTTACGAACAATTCTTCTGCATTTTCAATTTAATAATCCAAACGTAACACGTAACTCTGACACTTGTTGTTGTTATGATTGTTGTACAACAACACTTGCTGTTACCTGTATTTTTCTACCATGGAAGAACCAAAGAAAACCATTGTAAAAATTAAAATTAAAATTTTGGCCGCAGACCTTGGACATTCCAACAGGACTTAGCACTATCGCACTCAACATGCGCCACCCAAGAATGTTCACAAAATGAGGTTCCTCGTTTCATTTCCAGCCCACAATGGCCACCAAAATTTCCGGATACCAATCCGTTGGACTATTGTGTCTGGAGTATTTTGGAAAGCAAGATTGGCACTAAAAAATACCAAAGTTTCGATCACCTATAGCAAGCACTTCGCCGGTAATGGGCCAAAATACCGCAGAGCAACATTCGGGCAACGTGTGACGGTTTTATTGGCCGTTTGAAGGCCATAATTCGTGTCAAAGGTGACCAATTCGAACTAATGTAAACTTATTCTAAAATTTAATGGAATTTCCGACATTTTTTGTTTTCATTAAATAAAATTCAAAAAAAAAAATGTAAAAATTATGGCGTTTGACATTGTTGCAGTTTTTTTTATCTCACCCAACATGTGGGTGATAAGGATATATCTGATCCGATTTTCACCAAATTAAAGTACTTTCTTCGAGGCTAATTTTGGTACTATTACCATCCCATTTAGGCTAATATTAAACATTGGGTTCAAACACATGAACTTGTACTTTGACTCAGAATGTGATTCAATGCAGATTACCAAAAGGTCCAATGGGTCATTACACCGCATTGTGCAAAAACACTGGGGTCTTAAGACCTTAGAATACACAAGAAACTGGTTCGAAATTACATCGAAAAATTATTTTCACTTTAGTGGCTACGTCGTCAAGCAAAATCGTCGGATGTGATTAGAAAAAATCAAGAGTTACCGTTAATACGACTTTCCATCCACAAAGTGTAAGTGTTTGGCGCGGTTTAAGGTCCGGCGAGCTCATTGGAACTTATTTTTTGGAAAATGGGGTTTGTTGATATTATCTGCACAGCATTTACCATCAACAACCCTTGTTATCATTCGCATTTCTCAAATGAAGAAAATTTTCTGTGAACACGTAACCGAACAACTTTTATTTTCGGCATGTTTGAATCGGAAAATTAAAAGTTTTACTTTTAAAGGGAGAAAAAAGAAAGCGACTAAATCGAGCTACGGTCTGGATCGCGCATTATCTTGCCACTTTTCCGTCAAAACATCTCTGATACAGAGATCTGACATAATTTTAAAGATACTGACACGCAATGCCCGGCAATAAAAGTATGCTCTTGCTTCCACTGTTTCTAAAGGTATGCATGTGTGTGTACATATACAGACATGTTGTTTTGGTCGTAAAGGATGTCAGGGAATTTTAATACACTTGCCGAAACAGAGGCAGACGATGCCTTCTGTCCTCCATCCATCTTGAACAGGAACATCAGGAATTTTCATTTAACAGAACTCACACAAATGTAACTTTAAAATCGAAAGCTTCTCTCTGGGTTATGTGGTCTTGGGGGTGTATGTGCGTGTGTTTGTATGTGTGTGCCTACTAAATATGAGTATACAAAAACAAGTAATACATCCAGATGGGATGTATCGTTAATTTCTGTGTGTGTGTGTGCGTGCGCGCGCGATAGCATTGGAGGTGGTGTTAGTACGTATGTGCATGTGTTTGTTCGTTTGTATCGTTATGCGAGAAAATCGAGCATAAATACTTAACAGCAGCTCCATTCCAGAACCCGAACAGAGCACCAGTCAAGTATTGAACAGACTGGCGACCAGGCAAAATAATGTCAGTTATTTGACTTTGCTCCTTCTAAAAGGTTGTTTCCCGGGAAAAACGCTCTACGAAGCTCCACGTCACAAACATACGCACACACCAATCGACAAGTGTAGAGAAGTGTTTTGCAAAAAAATTTTCACATATTTTCGGTATATGTGAACAACGGGAAATCCGAATAAATCTATTTGAAAATTAATTGTTTTCAAGTCAACTCGTGTGTTGCAGCGGGTTTTTTGTTTTGTAAAAGCGAAATTTGAGTCGATAATGACCAAGAAAATCCGTGAGTGAAAAGAGAATTTGGAAAAAAATAGATAGTGTCCATATGCCCAGTATTAGAATTAAGCCATTGCTTGTGTAAATATACATATATGTAAATCGGAGCAGTGAAGTTGACAAGTGCCAATAGCTATCCTAAAAATTATATAAGCTGAGCCTTTGAGAGATTCAAAATGGCCCAGTTCGTTACCCATATACAGCCAACTCTGATGGAGGCCTCGCAGGGCCATGTTCCCCATCATCATGCACATCAAGTTGGTGTCCAACATTCGTCGCATTTGCCACACAGCGGACATAATATGCCATCGCCGCCGACAGCACACAATCATCACCAGATACATCACCAACAGCAACAGCATCACTCCAATCATCATGGTCATCAGGGCTCTGTGTCATCGCCACCAGGAGGACACCATCATCATCATCAACAACAACACCAACATCATCCACATCAGCAGCAGCAGCATCATCAACAACAACATCACCATTCAAATCATGGTCCAGGAAAACAGGCTGGCGCTGGTGGAAAACACGAACACTGTCCCAGTGGTCATCAGAGCTCGGTAATAATATAATTATGACTAATTGGGCGGTTTAGCAATGCTGGGAAAATTTAAAATTTTCTATGAATTTCAATCATTAACTCAGCATTGTGTGTTCGTTTGTGTGTGTGAGTGTGAAATAGTTGGTTGTTTCCAAATCGTGTCATCATCATCCATCAATGATGATGTAATGCTTCCCACAATCCGGACATCCTCTTCATGTATATATGCATACATACATACACACATACATTAGTAGCTAGAATCCGTTTTTCTTGGGCGTCGGAAGTGTATGTATCTGTTCAAAGCGAACCACAAGTATTCACAAAATTTCATTTGCAATTCTGCTGTTGTTGTTTTTCTTATTTGTCCGCTGGTGCGAAATGACGTAATTCTTGTTGTGGTAGTTCATTTTCAAAATAAGAAAGGATATTTAAAAACAAAAAACAGCGTTTTAGTTCAAAAGCAGAAGCACAAAATACTTGGGGTGTGAGTGAAATGCTCGACCACCACCAGCAGCAGAGTCCCGATAGTCATCCCTTAATATACACCCTCGCTCTAAAACTTTGAACAACCATTTCTCGACCTCCGCAGTCGTCGTTTGTATTGTTTTGTTTTGCGTGTATCCTTTGAACTCTTCCCGAATCGTTTATTAGTTCAACGCAGAGATTTTGCAAGTATTGGTCAGTGTATACGCCACTGTATGTGAGTTGTTCATGTATAGCAGTTGCAACATTAAGTTGAAGTTCGTTGCTGGTATGGGTTGGGAGGGAACGTTAAATGCGTTGATTCGCCTTCATAACCGTGTTTTATTGTTTATATATGAGGAAAGTGCATTGAACTACTCTATGTGGATATTGAGTTGACCCTGGCGAATTTATTTGTAATGAATAGTGAATCATCCAATATGTAGGTATAGCTATTTTTTCATAATTCAAACAAGTAAAAAAGCGAATAAGTTCAGCCGGGCCGAACTTTTAATACCCTCCACCATTGGAAGGAACTTGAAAAATTAACAAAAATTTCGTAGATAATACCGTTTAAATGAAAACAATTTTAGGTCTTAGATTGAAATATCCATTACGAACTTTAGATACGAAATTTGAAACAATTCCGTTGAATAATGTCACTAAAATCGTCAAAATAACGAATATCGGGAGGTGTCGTTATTTGGGGGCTATACAAAGACGTGGACCTGCATAAGCAAGTTTTTCTCATAGGCTGAAGTACCCATTACGAGCTTTAAATACCAATTTGAAACAATCATTAAAATTCCGAGTATTGGGATATACTGTTATATAGGGGCTATACGAAGCCGTAGGCCTACATAATTAATTCCTTGTCATTTGTTGTAGCATCCATTAAGATCTTGAAATAGGAAATTTTAAACAATTAATTCTTAATACATTAGTTTAATTCTTAATACGAATAGTTCCTAAAACATTTAATTTTTATGCTTTCATATCATTCCCCTGAATGCATAGATGTTAGCTGTAGGTCCAAATCTCTCAACAGTTCGAGCAATCGCTAGAAAATCGTGGAGTAAGCAAATTCGACATTTTGGAATTTTAGGACACATGAAGTATACGACTTTTTACCTAATGTGGTATCGCTGTTCATTTGCAATAAAAAGAAATGAAATACAAAAAAATAAAAAGTGAGCGGTAAAACAAAAGGATAATGGTGGGAATACACAAAACGCTATTTTGACTGGCTTAAATTGCCGGCTGACTTCTTCGTACAGGAACAAAGGAGTTTTAGATTGACTTAGTTAGATTTTGGGCCTATGTTCCTTTGTTCTTTTCCGAAGAAGCCAGCCGGAGACTTAAGCCAGTCAAAAAAGCATTTTATGTATTCTCTCCCTTAGGTTTGCTATTTTCAAAACAAAAATTGCAAACAGAAAAGGAACCGCATCGTGCAAACATATGTAAGATCCATCAAAACATCTTTGGCGTAACAGCAAAAACATTTTGATTGATTTCTTAAATGGATAATCTAAATAGATCATCTTGCGCTCTTAAATCATCTTTACATACTTTTGTACACAAAACTTAATCGGTAAATCCGGGTAAAAATTTAGTATGTAAAGGCGCTAAAAATCGGCGCTTAATAGTATGTTTGCACAGACATTTTATCAGGAGTTATTTGTTTCAACGTCGTTCACACATACGCTCTGTTCTAGGAACTGCCAGAATCTACAAATTTTGCATTTTTATACCCTACACCACATAGTGGTAAGGTTATTATGTCTTTGTGCATTTGTTTGTAACATGGAGAAGGAAGCGAGTTAGACCCATAGTTACATTTGAGAATCTCCCTAGAATCACTTTCTGAATTTATTTATGCATGTCAGTCCGTCTGTCCATGTATTCTTGTGAAGAAAATGCAGGTAGCATTTATTATCCGATTGAGATGACATTTTCCAAACAACGGTTGTTTGGCCCAAGGACGAACCCTATTGAAATTAAGGAAAATCGGTAAAAATTTAGATATAGCTCCCATATATATCTTCGTCCAAACGTGTAATATCAGCCCGAATAGTATGAAATTTTGCACATACAACCATATTAGGCCTCAAAATAAGTATGTCAAATTTTTTGACAGAAAATTGTCTATGCAGGTGCAGGTTCAGGTCTTCGTATAGCTTCGATATAACGGTACCTCCCTACATACGGTATTTTGATGCTTTTAGTTGCATTGTTCACAGTTTATTTCAAGTTTGAATTTGAGTATGGTAATGGATTATGACAAACCAAGCTTATGTAGGTTCACGTCGTAGAAACCCAAATAAAACGGCTATATTCGATATTTTTAAGATTTTAACAGAATTTTTAACAGATTTTATTTTTTAGAGGGTATTCAAAGTTCGGCCCGGCCGAGCTTACTGCATTTTAACTTGTTTAAACATCAATTGTGTTAATTTATATTAGTCTTTTCGCTAGATCATTTTGGCTTTTTACCTCCACCTTGCAAAGATACCCTCCTTTTCAACATTAACTTTGTCATTCCGTTTGTAAGATCCCTAAGTATTCGTCGTAGACCCCATAAAAAAGTATATATATTCATAATCAGCATAAAACTCTTAGGCGATTTAACAATGTCGGTCTGTCTGTTGTAATCACGATACAACCCATGTTATTTGACGTAGAGCTTCAAAATTTGGCACAACTATGTTTTGCGTCTAGGATGGTTGGTATTGAAAATGAAATATATCCTGATATTCTGTATTTTGATGATTATTGCCATTTTTCCATGGATTTGTCTAATAAATGATATTTGTAGTTCGTAACGGGTTCTAGCTCCGGTGGCGGAAAATTGTATGTAGAGGTCCGCGTTTTCATATAGCCCCCATATAATGGTACTCCCCGATATTCGGTATTTTGATGATTTATGCCACATTTTTTTACGGATTTGTCTAAAATTTTGTTTTTGTAGTACATATTGGGTTCTAGTTCCGGTGGCAGAACATTTGGTATTTAAAACTCGTAATAGATAGCAATCCTTGTCATATAATACTGTCTATGTAGGTTCCCGTCTTGGTATGGCCCCCATTTAATGGACTCACCCACTTTATGGTTTTTTGACAAGTTTAACCGCATTATGGTATTTAAAGCTGAAACACATTTAAATGCAGATACCTTTATATAAAAATTGGTCTGTTCTAGAACAGCAAGAATCGAATATTTTTACTAGGATAACCGAATTTCCCTTTTTGATATCAAAAAAGATATTATAAGATGCAAGACTGGGAGATTCTTGCATGTTTTGGATCAGAGCAAATGTTTTCTTTACCCAATGGTGGAGGGTATTAACTGCATTTACATTTTCTACTGGTTATGTATGCATATGTAATCAAACTTTAGCTGAGCGGATCTTAACTAATCAGTAGTAGCTCAAGTGCAACCAATCACTAGGGTGGTTCTCTAAGTATATATAAATATATATTTTTCCTGCAGCATAGTTAACGGATAGTTAACGATAACAGCAATTTTTTGACGAAATACAGAAGTCGGTAAACATAAGGCACTGTTTGTTTGCAATACCATTTTTGTAGTGACTATCTGTGATAAGTGGGTCAATCACAAATGATGTTTTTCAGAACTGCAAGAATGTAAAATTTTTTTACTACGATAACCGATTTTCCCTTTATGATATCGGAGAAAATTGCAAAAATAGTAGATTCTTGCAGGATGTGGAACAGATCAAATATATTTTTGTTGTTGTTGTTGGTCAATTTATTCGACTTCGAAAAAACATTCGAAATGAAATTATTGAGCTTTCAATAATTGCAATTGTTTATTTGAATATATCTCGATGTCATGATGTAGTGGGCCCTTTTTCTATTCCATAGCACTATTTATAGTTTACAATTCTCTTAGAGCCGTTATTATTTTTAACATTTTAGATTTGAGTTGTCTATATTTTCACTCAAACGCCTGAAACGATTATAAGCGTTACACCAGATTTTCAAAATCGGACGAAATGTCGAAATTTGTTTACTGTGTATTTATCATTCATGGTTGTAATGACAATCAGAGATTTGACCACTCGTATAGGTGATCAGCTGCGGTAAATCAAGTATCTATTGGTTGCGATATTCGGTATTCTGATGATTTTAGCCATATTTTCAGTGGAATTGTTTGAAAATTCACACAAAGTGATCCTTTTGAGTACTTTATCCTCTGGAAGAGAATTGTCTATATAGGTTCAGGATATCGTATGGCCACCTTATAACGGTACGCCCCTATATTATGTATTTGGATGATTTTAGCCACATTTTTCAATGGAATTGACCGAAATTCTACACAAGGAGTTCCTTGTGAGTACTTTACTTCCTGAAAGTGAATTGTCTATCCTATAAGTCTATAAGATCCCAAATGGTGGAGGGTTTTCAAAGTTCAGCCCTTCGAAGTTACATGTTTCCTTAAGGTCAGCATTATAGCAGTTTATCATTACAAACGGAAATGGTTTGCAACAACCATGTTCGAAGTATTGACCACTACCTTAAACTTGCCTCGAGT